CTGGGGTTTTTTATTTCTGTTTTCCAAAGCATATTTTGTTTTGGGCTGGAGCGATAGCACAGCGGGTAGGGCGTTCGCCTTACAAGCGGCCAACATGGCCGACCCGAGTTCGATTCCTCCGCCCCTCTCGGAGAGCCCGGCAAGCTACCGAGAGTATTCGATATGCCAGACACAGTAACAACAAAGTCTCCAATGGAGACGTTACTGGGCCCGCTCGAGCAAATCGACGATCAACGGGAGGGCCTTTACCTTTACCTTTACCTTATTTTGTTTTGGGCATGCTTTTTTTTTTTTTTTTTAAGGTCCACACCTCGTGGTGCTCAGGAGTATTCAGAGCTTACTCCTGGCTCTGTGTCAGGAATAACTACTGGTAGATTTTGCTTTTTTTTTTTTGTCATATCTGGTGATGCTCAGGGGTTACTTCTGGCTCTGCACTCAGGAATCACTACTAGCAGTGCATGGGTAGAGCATATGGGATGCCAGGGATCGAACCCGGGTCGACCACATACAAGGCAAAAGCCCTACCCACTGTGCTATCACTCTGGCCTCTCCTGGTAGACTTTGGAGACCATATGGGGGTGCCAAGGGTTGAACCTGAGTTGGCTATGTTCAAGGCAAGCACCCTACCCACGGCTGTATTATCTCTCTGGTATCTCCAAAGTGTATCACTTGAGGGGCTGGAGCAATAGCACAGCAGATAGGGCGTTTGCCTTGCATGCAGCGGACCCAGGTTTGATTCCTAGCATCCCATATGGTCCCCAGAGAACTGCCAGGAGTAATTCCTGAGTGCATGAGCCAGGAGTAACCCTGTGCATCACCAGGTGTGACCCAAAAAGAAAAAAATGTGTATCACTTCATCACGTGACATCCCGTTACTCATCAAGTTGCTCGAGTGGGCGCCAGTAATGTCTCCAGTAACGTCCCTGTCGCGTGCTAGTGTAGTGCTAGTCTGCTCATTCTAGGAACACGAAGAGCCTCAAACCGATCATTCAGGCCCTTGACGAAGAAGTCTGAAGATCTCGTAGATGGGCAACCATGCAGTCTTTTGGAATCTAGTCAGTAATAGTTCTAGTCCAGCAGTCATCTCCAAATCTCATTACGTGCCAAGCCGTGGCAAACGAGACAGCGTTTCTGATTCTTGACCATCGACGGAGGTCGGAACTTCAGATTCTTTCTCTCATTTGAGTGAAGCATGATACTCCAAGCATAGCTCTTTTGATTCCTCTTTGGGAGACCCGAATAGCGTTCTCATCCTGTTTTCGTAGGTCCCAGGTCTCTGAGGCATATGTTAATGCAGGAAAAACTGTGGAATCGAAGAGATGTGCCCAGCGCCGGAGGTTCTTCGTCCTCTTAGCTATTTCTTGAAGGCGTTCTTGAAGGCATTCCAAGCCACTCTCTTCCTCCTGCGCAACTCAGGTGCCAGGTCATTCGTCATGTTGACTTCTCGACCTAGGTACACATAACTGTTGCATTTGGAAATGTTCATTTCGTTGAGAGTGAATGGAACGTCAGGAACGAGACCGTTTCTCATAAACATTGTCTTCGTGAGATTCAGCTGTAGTCTGACCTTTCCACACTCATGGTCAAAGTCGGCCAGCATTTGTGCTGCTTGGCTAATGTTTGATGTTATTAGAACAATGTCATCAGCAAAGCGGAGGTGCTGTAGTTGCCAACCATCTATCTTCACTCCCATTCCTTCCCATTCCAGTCGTTGCATGACGTTCTCGAGGGTGGCACTGAAGAGTTTTGGTGAAATGGTATCACCCTGCTGAACCCCTCTCTTGACATGGATGATCACTTCTTTGTTGAATGGTGAGATCCTGGTAGTGAATCCGTAATACAGCTCACGGAGGATCCTGATGTATTGACTTTGAACGCCCTGATTGGCTAGGGCTTCGATGACTGCTTCGGTCTCAACAGAATCAAAGGCCTTCTTTAAATCAATGAGTGTTAGGCAGAGCGACATCTTGAATTCCCAAGAAACCTCAATGAACTTGGTTATCGAGTGGATATGGTTGATCGTGCTGAATCCTTTGCGGAACCCGGCTTGCTTGCTTGGTTGTCCTTCATCTAGTATTCTGCCAATCCTGTTCAGAATGACTCGAGTGAACAGCTTGTAGATGACAGACAATAGGCAGATCGCACGATACTTGCCAATGTCATGGATGTCTCCCTTTTTGTACAGTAGTACAGTCCTGCTGGTTTTCCACTGGGTTGGAACCTTGGATTTAGACAGGTAACGTGTGAAGAGCCAGCCAGCATATTGATGAGTACTGATGGTAGATTCTTCAGGTGTTCAGGTCTGACCTTGTCTGGGCCGGGTGCTGTTCGCTTCTTTACCAACAAAATGGCGTGTCGGATTTTGGAAGGTAAAATGTTGGGAACAACATATCCATCCTGCGGAATTTGGTATGAGGGCAAGTAGAGGTTGCTATCAAAGAGATCCGAGTAGAAGACATGGATAATCTTCTCCATTGCCCTTCTGGAAGATGTGATAGATCCATCAGGATGTCAGAGGGCAGTAATCTTGGTCTTGTAATTGGCGAAGGACAGGCGGACGTTGCGAATCTTTTCTCGGCTTCTGCCGCATCTACCAGCACTGCTGCTCTTCTCTCTTTGAGGTCTTCCTTTATCACTTCTCTGCATTGCTTTGCGAGCTCAGATGTTGGCTTGCGGTTGCCTGAGGCTTGCGCCAAGCCATGTTGGTGAATAAGCTCAAGAGTTTTCGAAGACAGGTGTTTTTTTGTGGCTATCTCTCTCTTGGCATCCCTCGCACAATCATGGAGGTGCTGAACCAGTCAATTGTATTCCTCGTCAATGTTGTCAACAATGGCATCTTCTCATGTTGCCGCAATAGTGCCAAAGAGCTCCCAGCTGGTGGTCATTCTGGGAGTTCTCTTCTTAAACTTTGCAGCACTTTCTCCCCGCTCTGTGAAGTAGAATTTTGCATGAAGGAGACGATGCTCCGATCCCGTTTGAAATTTTGGGACAATGGCGACATCAGTCAGGCAAAACTGTTGATTGAATATGATGTGGTCAATTTCATTGTGGAACCGTCCACCGGGAGACTCCCATGTCCAACGTTTAGATTCAGCCTTCTGGAACTGTGAGTTACCATGGATGGTCTTGGTCAATATGATGAACAGTCTCTCACCCTGTTCATTCTATTCTAGGCCATGGATCCCGATGTGGAGTTCTTCAGCTGATCTTCTCGGTCCCATCTTGGCATTAAAATCACCAACAATGATCTTGTGGAAGGTGTGGTCTTCTTTATAGAACTTCTCCAGCTCCATGTAGAACTTCTCAATTTCTCCCTCCTCATAATTGGATGTTGGTGTGTAGACAACGAAGATAGAAACTGCCAGCAGTGAGCCACATCTATTCAAACTGTATATGTATTAATTTTTCTCTGGAGGCGCTATTATGTGATAAATGTATGTATGTATGTATGTATATGTGCATTTATTGTATGGTACATGCAAAACATTTGCGATTCCATGATTGACAGTTTTAACCTCCAATACATTCAGTATTACAGTTTATTTACAGAAATTATAAGGCTCCAAAATTCGACTGAAGGACAAGAGAGACAATACAAGGGTAAAGGCACTTACCTTGCATCCTGGCAACCATGGCTGGAATCCACCCTGTTTAGCTCCCTGAGCACCACCAGGGGCCACTCCTGAGCACACAGCTGGGAATAGCTCCTGAACACCTCCAGGTGGGGCATGCCTCCCTTCCAGTCACAGTCACAGTCCTCCCATTGTTCATCGATTTGCTCGAGCGGGCACAGTAACGTCTCCATCATGATACTTGTTGTTACTGTGTTTGGCATATCGAATACGTCACGGGTAGCTTGCCAGGCTCTGCCGTGCGGGCAAGATACTCTCGGTAGCTTGCCGGGCTCTCTGAGAGGGGCGGAGGAATCGAACTCGGGTCGGCCATGTTGGCCGCTTGTAAGGCAAACGCCCTACCGCTGTGCTATCGCTCCAGCCCGCCTCCCTTCCAATGATTAAAAAAAATAAATGAATAAATAAAGTTAAGTTGAAAATTGAAGTAAACCCTGAGCACAACTGGGTGTTGCCCCCTATCCCCACTAAAAAAAGAAAAAAAAAAGAAAATTGGTGAAAATAGCCAGTAAAAGAATGCAATTCCTTCCATGTAAAGAACAACTCCTTTGCACGTCTTCCACCAACAACCTTCCTAAAACAAATATTCACCATTTATGAGTTTAATAAACCTAATTAGATCATATTTTATGTTCAAATATATTTAATATTTTAATATGATTGCTCTTTTGTTTTTGTTTATGGGACCACACCTGGTGGTGCTCAGGAACTATTCCTGGCTCTGTGCTCAGAGATCACTCCTAGCAGGGATGGGGGGACCATATGAAATACCAGGGACTGGACACTGACTGACTGTGTGCAAGGCAACTCCAGTCCGAAATAAATCAATTTTAATTGCTTGATTTTCATTGTATGCTTATTAGATGTGGGTTCTTTTTTTGTTCACTAGGTTGGTTTTAGAGCTGCATCCAGAGATGCTAGGGGGTTATTCCTGGATCAGTGCTCAGGAGTCATTCATGGAGTGCTCAATCATGCAGAGCACAGAGACCAACTTGAGTCTCCTGCGTGTAAAGCAAGTTACTCCAACCAATGGAGCTAGATCCCTAGCTTCCTAAGTGTATTTTTTTTACGCTCTAAACTTTTATCATAAAGAACTTACTAATTAACAACCAAAAAAAGATCCATTCACCTGACACTCTTACAAGAGAATCTCACAGAAAATAAATATCGAGGAGCTCTTTCAGTGGGAAAAGAACAAGAGCATTGCTGCAGCTATGAAAGGGACAAAATTCAGTGCAGAGGCCTAGATGCAGCAATTTCCTTTTTCCCTTCCCTCGGCAAGACTTTCCAGAACCAGAAACACGCCACTGCACTCTTGGGAAGGCAGAGATTCCAGAGCTCTTCATCAAGTTCCATCTGCAGCAAGCAACACTATTGATCCCAGTTAGATGTTCTCCTCCTCATAGAACTGTTCCCCTTGCTATCAATATCTTCATAGAGGTCCTTTTTATTCTCTTGTGTTGCATGCAGATAGCCAATATAAGCCACACAGAGTGAGAGAGTTATCAATCCGAAAGCCATTACAGGTTTGTTAGGCTTAATGAAGAGCTCTGGATTCACAGCTCGAAACAAAGTGGTTGTGTGGACTCCTCTGAGGCCTGGGTTTGGAAAGTCTTTCTCTTTGGGTGGTTCCTTTTTAAAGGGTGGTGGTTCCGGTACTGAAGACATCTTGTTGTTTAATGATTTATTACCTGATGCCAGGTCACCTCCGCCTGGTACCGGACCCACTTGGTACCCCTAAGTGTATTTCTTAAATTTTTGTTTTCCTTGATTTACAAGATTGTTAAAGATAGGGCTTTTGATAGATGATGGACTGTTGATAGACACAACATTCTGACACCACACCTTCCACTCCTGAGTTTTTCTCAACCACTGTCTCAGGTCCCCCTCTTTAAATCACACTCTCACCATCTCCCTGCCATGGTAAGACCAGCTCTCAGATTCTGCTGATGTTGGCCATTGATTTTTCCCTTATTTTTATTGCTTCTTCATATTGTTTCTTCATATTACGCATAAGATGCATGATACTCTCCAGTTTGTCTTATATGGCAAATATGAGGATGTTGTGGGGATTTAATAAGATCTCTCTGGTGGTTGGAGTGATAGTACAGAGGATGGGGTGCCTGTTTTGCGAGTGACTGACCCAGGTTCCATCCCCAGCACCCCATAAGGGTCCCAGAGCCCACCAGGAGTAATCCCACAGAGCAGAGCCAGGAGTAAGTTCTTTGCACCACCAGGTATGTCCCTCCCACCCCCCAAAAAAAGGTTTCCCTGGTAGTTTGGGTTTTTTTTTTTTTCAGATGTTGGGTACCAAACCCAGACCTCATGCATGCAAGGTATGCACAGCCAATGAACCATATCCTGGGCTACTTTAGTCAGTTTCAGGAAATTAAAGAAACAATCTTGGATGAGTCTAAGCTAATCAGCTGGACTTGTTAAAAAAAAAAAAGTCTTGGAGATCAGAAACCAGAGAAATTGGAGATCTGAAGCACTAGATATACTAATCTGTTGATCCTGAAGAAGCAAACAGCAAGTTTTGGAAGGACACCTGTTCAGGAAGTGGTAGATAACTTCTCAGAGCTGAGTCTCAGTCATATGACTGGATGGAATTGTGTTTAGCTAATAGTGAGCTTGGAAGAGGCCCCGGAGCCTCTGATGAGATCAAAGTTATCGCTGATTCGAAGGAGCACATGCTTTCCGTGCTGGAGCACCAGGTTCTTTTCCTGGCACCACTGGTCCTCTGAACATGGCCTGGAGTTTTCTACAGCATCAAGTGTGGCACCATAGTACCCCCCCCTCAAAGTTCTGGATGATGTCTTCATTCCAGCTTGATAAGAACTAGGATACAGCTAATCCATGTCCAGTTTTCTACTCACGGAAACTATGAGATAATACAATTGTGTTGTTTTAATTCATTACAGTTCTGATAATTTGTTATGCAGCCACAAAAGTTCTATATAACAAACCATCTCCCAAACTCAGTAATTCAGAGGAATCAACTTTTTTTTTGTTTGCTTTTTGGGTCACACCTGGCAATGCACAGGGGTTATTCCTGGCTCATGCACTCAGGAATTACTCCTGGTAGTGCTCAGGGGACCATATGGGATGCTGGGAATCGAACCTGAGTCGGCCGCATGCAAGGCAAACCACCTACCCGCTGTGTGCTGTGCTATTGCTCCAGCCCCGGAATCAAGTTTTGTTGTTGTTTTTGTTGTTTGTTTTTAGGTCACACCTGGAACTGCTCAGGGGTTACTCCTGGCTCTACACTCAGGAATCACTCCTGGCAGTCTCAGGTGACCACATAGGTTGCTGGGGATTGAAGTTGGGTCAGTCGCCTACAAGGCAAGCACCTTACCTGCTGTACTATCTCTCCATCCCCTATTTTTTTTTAATCCGCTACTTTTTGTTTGTTTGTTTTTGGGCAATGTCTGTTGGTATGGCCACATGCAAGGCAAATCCTACCCCGTACCATCTCTCTGGTGCCTCCTTAAAAAAAAGAAATCTGGTCATTACTTCAAGAGCACCTGGGCAATTTTATTCACCTGGGCAGGGCTAATTTAATTTATTTGAACTTCATAAATCTGTTCTTCATGAACTCATGAACCTGTAAAGTTGGCTAGGGATTGACTACTTCAGAACTGGCTAGCAGATGTTACGTGTATCCATTCCACCTGTAGTCTCCTGTTTTTTTTTTCTTTCTTTTGTTTTCTTTTTGTTTTTCTTTCTTTCCTTTGGTGTTTGGTTTTTAGTCCACACCCACTGTGCTGAGGAGTTACTTCTGGCGTTGAGCTCAGGGATCACTCCTGGCAGTGCTAAGGAGGCCATGTGGGGTGCTGGAATCAAAAGCAGGTCAGCCTCATTCAAAGCAAGTACCATGCCTACCGTTCTACCTTCTGACTCTTGGAGACTGACTTTCTAGCCAGCTGGTATGTATTGTTCTCATGGTAGTGACAAGATTAAACAAGGGAGAAAACATATCATTGTTTTTTCAGTTGTTGCATCAAATTTACTACTATCTCATTTAAGCAAGTCAAATGGGAATGGAAATCAAAATATAGGTCCATATAAAAATTAGACTTAAATATTTATAGCAGCTTTAGAAATAAGAGCTAACAAGTACAAACAGTCCAAATACATGGGTCTGGAGAGTACAATGGGTAGGGTGCCAACCTGAGTTTGATCCCTGGTGCCACATATGTTCTGAGCCCCATCAGGAGCACAGAGCCAGGAGTAAGTTCTGTGCATTGCAGGATGTGACAAAATCCCCAACCCCTAAACAAAAACAAAAACAAAATATCTATCAATAAAAGAAAGAATAAGCAAACTGGGGGTCGGAGAGATAGTACAGGGATTAAGGCACTTACCTGTACATAGCCAACACAGTTCAAAACTCAGTTACACATATCCCCAGCACTGTCAGGAGTTAATCCTGATCACCATCAGGTGTGGCCCCCGATAATGATCCCCCCCACTCCACCCCCCCCAACAAAAAAAACTCCAAATATAAAAAAACTGTGTAATACACATGCAAGAAAAAGAAAAAGAAAGAATTACAAACAACTATTTATATCACTGTATCACTGTATCGCTGTCATCCTGTTGATCGTGGAATTACTCGAGCGGTTGCCAGTAACGTCTCTATTTCTCCCAGCACTGAGATTTTAGCAGCCGCTCCTTACTCGTCTTTTCCCAATGATTGGAGGCTCTTTCAGGGTCAGGGGAATGAGATCTGTTGTTGCTACTGTATTTGGCATATCAAATATGCCATGGGGAGCTTGCCAGGCTCTGCCCGTGGGGGTGGGATACTCTCAGTAGCTTGCCAGGCTCTCTGAGAGGCACATATTTATATATTTATTTCTATGATTTGTTGCCTACTGTCTGAACCCCGTCAGATATGGTATCGTAATTGTGGAAAATGGGTAGGAAATGTCTTATAAAGTGTCACGCAGCTGCAAAGTGGCCGCTGGTCCAGAAAGCAGCCTAGAGCGTGACGGTGGTAGGATAGTGGAGATCGACTGCTGGGGCTGGGTCCCCTGGGGTGGGGAGGGCTCTCACCCACCCCACAGCCTGGCGTGGAGTCCAACTATTTATATAAAGGTAAAGGTAAAGGCCCTCCCGTTGATCGTCGATTTGCTCGAGCGGGCCCAGTAACGTCTCCATTGGAGACTTTGTTGTTACTGTGTCTGGCATATCGAATACTCTCGGTAGCTTGCCCGGCTCTCCGAGAGGGGCGGAGGAATCGAACTCGGGTCGGCCATGTTGGCCGCGTGTAAGGCGAATGCCCTACCGCTGTGCTATTTATATGACTATCTAAAATATTACACTGAGCCAAAAAGGTCAGACAAAAATGTACATATGAATGAATTCATTGAGATGAAGTTGAAAACCAGGTAAAAAAAAAACTAATCTATGGTAACAGAAATCAAAGGGTATTGACTGGAAAAGGGTAAAAGGGTACTCTCCTAGTTCATAGAAACATATGCTAGCTTAGTGGGGTGATAAACACCCACCCGTAGGTTTGTATATTTATTAAAACTCATTAAATTGTGCAGTTTAGACAAATGCATTTCAAAATCACTACATTTTATCGTAAAAAAAATAAGGTTGGAGAGATAAATGGGAGGGTAGGCACTTGCCTTGCATGTGATCAAGCTGATTTAATCCTTGGCAACATATATGTGGTCTCTTACTACTACAAGTGACCCAAGAGCACAGGGCCAGGAATGACTCCTAAACACTGGTGGGTGTAGCCCAGCACCTGCCCTCTAAAGTACAGTGATGGGAGCCAGATAGTACAGAAGGTAGGGTACTTGCCTTGAAACTGACCCATGTGTGATCCCCAGCATCCATTTGTTCCCCAAGCACTGCCAGGATGCCAGGAGTGATCACTGAGTGCAGAGCAGAAGTAAGCCCTGTGCATCACGAGGTGACCCAAAACTTAAAAAAAAAAATACACTGATGTAGAGAAAGAACTGATGTGTTGGCATTTAAAACATCTTGCTTGAGGGCCAGAAGATAATGCAGAGGGTAGGGCACTTGCCTTGCACACAGCAGACTTGGGTTCGATACCCAGCATCTTATATGGTCCCCTGAGCATCACCAGGGATTATTTCTGAGTGCAGAAATAACCCATGATGTGACCCCAAAACCAAAAATAAGTAAATAATTGTTTACTTATTTATTTATTAAAAAAAGCATCTTGTTCGAGAAACCAGGGGTGCAGGGGTAGGATGTCAGGAGTCATCCCTGAGTGCAGAGCCAGGAGTAAGCCTTGAGAATAGCTGGTTGCTGCTCCAGAACAAACCAAACCAAACAGCAAATTAAAAAAATTATTTTGGGGTATTCCCAAGCTGCTGTGCTCAGGGAGCTAGGGAGTGGGTCACTTCTGATAATACAATTGGTTACTTTCGGCCAGCCTTGCCAGACAGTTAAATGTGAGAGTCAGAGGACTTGGTTCTGTTCATGCCCTGCTGTACAGGGAACCACCAGGGTCACACCTGGTGGTGCTTGGGGCCTCCAGAATTATACCCAGTGGTGCCAGGAATTAAAATAGACCCACACACTCCCCATTGTGGATACCGTCTATAAATGGAATCATACACATTTGTCCTTTTGTGATTGGTTTAATTAAGGCTCGTCTATGATTTATTGTCAAAATTTTCTTTCTCTTAAAGGATGAATAGTAGTCTATCATATGATATCTTACATCTTATCCATTA